CCTCGGAGAGAAATCTTTTTGGGGTTTTGAATTGGAAAACATTTTCGGATTATATAATTAATTTTGTTCTTATATATTTTATTATTTATTATTTCTAATAAATTTTATTTTAAGTTATTTTTTAAACAAAAATGAAAAACCATAATTATTTGAGAGTTCTGATAACATTAAAACCATTTATCTTGTGACCCTCATGTGATTCCCAATGATAAATAACTTTGATATTAAAACTGTTAGATAATCCTGGTTTTCTACAACCTTTTTTTTAAAGCCATATTGATACACTTTTGTGACAAGACTTCCTTGAAAATAGTTTTTGAGACAAAGGCTAACCAAATAGTTTTAAAAAATGTTAAAATTATTAATTTATTTAAAAATATTACTTTATCAAAAAATTGAATCTCAATCAGTATTACTAATTTTTAGCCAAAATGAATTAATAAAATGACATTGTTTCAAGTTAACAGTATAATTTGCTCATCTTCGACTCAAAATATTAAACCCAATTTTGCTCATCTTCGACTCAAAATATTAAACCCAATTTTGCTCATCTTCAACTTTCCCTATTTTTACTTTCTAGATTTTTTGCAGAACCATTTCCTTTGATTTGTCCTTGGAATTTCTTTGACATTTTGTCTTTAGGCCTCGGTGAATTAGTCGAGTGGCTATAGTTGTCAGGAGGATGGAAGGAGAATTTGCAGGAAAGAGTTTTAGAATAGAGAGCTTTTGAATGTAGAGAAACAGGGCAAATCAAAGAAGAAAAGGAGATGAATTGAAACAGGGAACAAGGGCAAATCAAAGGAAATGGTTATGTAAAAAATCTGGGAAGTAGAAATAGGGAAAGTTGAAGACGAGCAAAATTAAGATTTAATATTTTGAGTCGAAGATGAGCAAAATTGAGATTTTATACTATTAACTTAAAACGGCTTTATCTTATTAATTCATTTCGGTTAAAAATTAATAGATTTGGTTGAGATTCAATTTTCTCTTAATTTATTAATTAATTTTAATTTATTAATTAATAAATATTAATTATTTTGCAGTTATTAATTAATAATTATATTTATTAATCATTTTTATCAATCAAATTTTTAAAAAAATTAATGTTTTAATTTTTTAATTTTTTTTTTGACCAGGTACATGGTTAGGAAATTAGTAGAGTTAGTTTGTTAGCAGCTGGAATTTTTCCATGAAAGTGAACGTTCCACCCCTTCAATTAAGGCGCACGACCATTAAGGCGTGCGATTATTAAGTTGCAAGTTGGTGGAGTTCACGATGGTAGCAGAGCTCGAAGCCTGAACTCCGCCTCACCCAAGCCTTAAAGCTTGGAGCCAACCAATTGGACCACAGGTCCAGTTGGCATTAATGTTTTAATTTTAAATATAAATTTTTATAATTTTTTATAATCTTAACATTTTATGTAGTGTTCACAACCCTTTTTTAATAAGACAATTTATATAGATAAACAGATAATGATAACAATTGAGTTTGACAATGATATCGTC